CCATAGAATTGTTTAAAAAAGCGTTTTTTTTTAAAAAAATATTGGGACAAGTTTCTCAAAATATGTCACTGTAACACACAAAAGAATGCTATTTCATAGTGTCATCTAGACTTGCTTGCAGACTGTTGCGATTCCGATGAAAAATTCTTAAAAAAAAATATAAATTGTGTAAATGAGCAGTGAACGCGGAAGTCATGTGACCACGAAAATCCCAACAGTCTTGCTATCAGTGTAAATGCCCTCACATTACCAGCCAGATTCGGGCTTGTAATGATTGACATGTCTAATATGTTTCAACCAATCAGAAGACAGACTAATTAACATATCAACTGAGACCACGGAAACCATGATTCGTGTTATGATCCGTGGCTCGGCTGCTCCCCCCACCGTATGACGTATATGCAAATTTACAAGGGTCAAACCCTGGTACAAGCCATGTTTGTTTTTATTATTAGAGAACGCTTATGCGCATAATCATTCCATATTCGGAATTCCTATTTCCTAATATGGTAAGATGAAAATACCCCGTAAAATACCGCAAAATTATGGCACGCTTCAACTTTTATGGCATTATGGTGACAGATGTATAATAGTAATAAATTATTACTTTTTGTAGGTTTGAATTTTATAACTGTGAAGAGGAGTTTGAAACTAAAACAGTGTGGACTACACGCAATCCTGACTATGCCTTCAGGAAACAGTTTACTATCCAGCCAGTAGACATGGAATTCTTGACATATTTACAAACACATGCATTAGTTGTGCAGTTATGGGGAACACAGGGTGAGTACATTGTTTTTATGGGGAACACAGGGTGCGTACATTGTTTTTATGGGAACACAGGGTGAGTACATTGTTTTTATGAGGAACACAGGGTGAGTACATTGTTTTTATGGGGAACACAGGGTGAGTACATTGTTTTTATGATGAACACAGGGTGAGTACATTGTTTTTATGGGGGACACAGAGTGAGTACATTGTTTTTATGGGGGACACAGGGTGAGTACATTGTTTTTATGGGGGACACAGGGTGAGTACATTGTTTTTATGGGGGACACAGGGTGAGTACATTATTTGCATATTCTTCCAAAATTGTTAATCAAGACCAGAAGTCAATCAGAAATTAGTTCCATTTGGTGAAAATTTAACAAAGAAATTGTAAAAAAAATAAAAATTGTGAAATGTTAGCGGTGTGTACATGTCTTGGTTCTCATTGCCTTTTCACTCCTTCCTTTGTCTTTTGCATGTTTGTGCCTACTTGTTTTTTCATGTTCATATCTAATTATATAATAAATTTGAGTTTGTTAAGAAGTGATGGAAGTAATACTCTATAAATCATTCTATCCCTATTGTGGATCAAAATCTAAAAGCAATTCAAAATCTGATTTTGAAACTGTTTAATTTTCACTTTAAGGAATCTAAGGTCTCCAGTTCACCTGACTCATAACATTTTTTCTTTTGTGAAATAGTTAACCTTAATTAATTTCTCAAATTAATCACATCAGGAGGGACTGTTAGTAATCGCAAATTGTCGACAGTAAGTCTTACTGAGAACATGTTACGTGACAGATCTGGATCCTGGATGGCACATGATAACCAGGGATTAGAATTACTGGTAAGTAAAACTGACCTGCATTAAACTCAAAGTTTGCATCTTATATTGACTTGCAGAGTGATTGTGTACAATAAATGTATATTGAATGAATAAACCATTATATTATACCAACATCATTACAAATGTAATTCAGAAAGATGGAAATATCTTTAAAACATCACAAGCTTTGTACAAATGTGACACACACCTGAAATGCTATTTGAAACCATGGTGAAATATAAATGTGCCTTGGAGCTGGCATACAGCGATTATAGATACATTGAGCGGTGGAGCAAATATTACACCCTATTTTGGCTTTCAAAAGGTTTATTCATGGACAAGCTGTTTCTTACTAGTGCCAATGTTGATATTTGTAAAATCGTCTCAGTTGATATTATTGCCACGATTGCATTTTGACAGTCTGCAAAACTTTAGGTTCATGAGCGAGCCACTGCAGACAACAATAATTTTGTTGGTGTTGTTTGCATATTTCTGAAAAAATATTTTACATTTTGAACAAGGGTCACATTTTTATGTACTGGGACAAGATTTATCCCTACTGTCTGCTATTCACATTTGGGAGCCTACTTCTAAACATGAAAAACTGTGGTGTACGGTAGTACTCATAATTAAAAATACATTCTCAACCAATCAGAATGATGTATTCAGGCAATTGAAATATTCAAACAAAGCATTAAACAAGGTGTTTATATCTAGTTCTGAAATTTTTGCCCTAAGAAAATTATTGAGCTGTATTTGTCATCATGAAATAACCCCTGTGACAATTTATCTCTTAGCTTAGCAAAGAAAAGGAAATCTCGGCATTAAAGAAGAAGCTCAGACAGCAAGAAGATGACGGACTCATTTTGAAAGATGCTTATGATTCTGCAAGGAAAGAAGTATTTTCCTTGAAACAAAAATTAGAAATATTGAGAACTGCTAAGGGAGCCAAATCAGCTTTGAAGAACAAGTCATCTGCCGTCAATGGTAATCCATAATTCTTATGTGTATAGTGTAAACAGCGCCACCAAGTGTCAAGATAATCACAATTTGATACTGGATTTAAAATTATTGTAATGAACTTGTATCATTATTTTTGGGGAAATAAGACCACCTTGTGAAAAAATTGGATGTCACATTATTTTAGTCAGATTTGCATATTATCCAGTTATGCTATATACATAAAGATTTCACTCAACTGTACCTGCCAATGCTAGACCAAATCATGGCATAATGTTTTATTCATTCATGCAATTGAGGAAAAAAAACTTATTATTTATACTACCATGAATTAATATAATTATTGAGCATTTACAAAGCAGGATAATAATTGCTATATATGTAGCGGTATCTTAAATCGACCATGACAGAAAATACTTATTACCACATAGCTCAATTATTGCACAGGTTCTAATGGTCATGTGACAGTAAATGTTATGAATGGTCATGTGACACCTACACCTCAGTCAATTGACCGTCCAGCATCCGCTGCCTCCATTGATGCAGAAATAGCAAGAGCACTGAAAGTATTTTTTAAAGATATCAAAGGTGTACAGCAAGAGTTAAAAGAACTCCGAACTGACAGTGAAAAGGTAGGTTGTTCAGAATATTTAGATTAATAGATACTGCTGGCATATTAACTCCCGATATAACTTGATATGTTTTATCTCCAGAGCAGTGTTTGTAAAAGTTCTTTGATTAAACTAGAGGGGGAAAATCATAGTACTTTTTGTTTCAAGCTGGTTGATACAAGTAACGCATGATTTACATACTGTTCACCATTCTAGTTTTATTTCACTTACAGTATTAAAACTGACATTGTCACGATATGTGCTATTGGAGATGAGATGATTTTGTTTTAAAATTACTAATATTTCACATGGAGCCAATGTTCATATAGCTTTCTTATTTCACATGATACTTTTGAAGGAAAAAATAATAAATACAATTGTTTTGTCATTTGTGCAAGATGACAATGTCACTAATTTTTGGTCAACTTTACAGATAAGCGATGACCCAGCAGATATGCTGAAGAGGTCTTTACTGCAACAACATCAAACAGTATGTAACATAGAAGATGACTTGTCGGCTTGCGTTTCATCTTTAAAGACTAACGTCACTACAGCAATACGCAACATGAAGAAACAATCTGCCATGATTTAATAATTTGTTGTACTTCATGCGATCTTGAAATTAATTATTTCAAAATTTAAAATAAGATTATGACTGTTAGATTTGGCAGCAATCATATGCCTTTGTAACTAGCAGAGTCAACACAATGGGAAATGTACCCGTTACTGATGAAAAGAACAAGAAATAATCAGTCATAATTCAGTGAACTCAAAACAACAAACCTAAATATACAGGACTTTTATTAGTTATTAAAGTGTAACTGAATTGGACCAATTGACTTTTTTGTGTGCAAAATTTATTTATAAACAACATTATGAAAAAAAATCAAGTGAAAAGGGTATATAAATTGGGTAAACAGTCAATGATATTCCAAAACCGGACCACGCCCCCTCTCTGAGTTTTTTCGGCATTACGAGTGTTGCCGAAATGGTGCCACCAACGGGACCATAAAGCAGGAGATTGCTAGCAGACAAGATTGTTTACCATTTTCCATACGCAAGCGTTTAGTAAACCAGCATACAGTACAGTTCTCGCGAAAGCTTTGGCTTTTGTGGCATCATTGTCATCTACGCACGGCTTCATTGTCGCTTCAGCATCGCGTCATTGAAAATTGAAGCTGTGTTCGCCTCGCTTATTTTGTGGCATCATCGTGGCCTCAGCTTCGCAGTCTCATGGCATCAACTTCAAAGTATTGTGACATGAGTAAAATGACATTTTACTAAAAAGATATCTTGTTGAATTATTTTAGTGTTGCGAGTATTGGGCACCAAAAACTTTGTGAAGTACATTACAACTGGCAAGGTGACGAGTGTCGTAATGACTGCAAGGAAAATTGTGATAAATTTAAATCACACGATGAAATCGTCGTTCGGATACTACAAAATTTGCTATATACGAAATGAAACTGTTCTTGTTATAAAATTACCTTTTTTTTGCTCATTTTATTTCCTGGTAAGAGAACCGATCCCATGGCCGGACTACTAATACATGCACAACACACGTACGCCACCTGGTGCGTCGGCATTGTCGCCAGTCATCTTGATACAAAGTTCCAAAACAAGTGCGTACATTTCCAACTATGATTGGATGGTTGTGATGGCGTCGGTCTGGTAAAATTTGACATCCAATTTTCAAAATTAAGTCACGATCAGTGACCTGAGCTCGATCTATACATACTTTAAAAGTATTCTCACAAAAAATATTTTCAAATAAAAACCACATGCCCTGTAAAAAATCGAATAGCGCTTGACATGCAGAAATAATTTATTGGTCTTTCAGGAAAAAGCGTGTCCATTTAGTTGTAGCCATAAATATTTGGTGACCAG